ACTCATGTGATGTCCAGTGCAGAACGACGAACAGACCACCCTTTGTACGATGTAAACTCAACCTGGGCTTTAAATCCAAACCTGAGAGAGGTAGAATTCCAAGAAGGAGACTCAAAGTTAATAATCTCCAAATACTCTGTGGGAAATAACTTCCAATGAATATTCAAACCAGATTTCAAAATCACTCTACAGATCCCTCTCCTGAAGTATTTCGGCAACATATTAAAACCAGCATCTTACAGTCTTCCGTGGAATCCTTAGGGTTCCCTGCAAAAAAATAAAGACTGGTTTGATGAAAGTAATGAGCAGGAAATATTCATCTGTGCTCAGATTCGGATGTCTACAGAAGATTCTACTAGGCTCTAAAACTACGTATAAACAAACCCATAAATCACGTCAAAAGTTCTCCACTTAGCGCAGATGGCCAAACGCTTCTGACTAACAAAAACTCTATCCTGGATCGATGGTCTGGACACTTCCAGACTCCTTTTAGTGCCAACCGTGCAAGCCAAGGCTCAGTAATTCAACACATTACACAACAACCAGTGAAAAGCGAATTGGATATAACTCGGAGTACGACAGAAACACTCAAGGTCATACAGTAGGTGAAAACTGGCAAGGCGGCTGGGATTGATGATATCCTACCTGAGATATGGAAACAGGGAGGTTAAACACTTCCCGCTAAGTTTCACGAGCGCGTTCTGGATGTTGGAAAAAAAGCGATCTTCCACTAGATCACCGTGATGCAATAATTATCGCCCTATTAAGAAGGAAGCAGTAAAATCAAACTGCTCAAATTACCGATGTATTAACCAACTCTCTGTTGTTGGTAAAATCCTTGCAAGAATACTTCTGAACAGATTGGTACCCGCTATATCAGAAAAAGTTCTATCTGAAAGCTAATGTGGCTTCAGAGCAAATAGGAGTCACCACAGATATGTATTTGTTCTCCAACAATTGCAAGGGAAATGAATGAAACAGAACGAAGGTTTTTATATAACTTTCATAGACCTCAACCAAAGTCTTTAACACTGTGAGCAGAAAAGTTCTACGGCAGATCTTGAAACAATTAAAATGTCCTCCCAAGTTCCTGAAAATGATAGAAGTTCTTCTAGCCCGCGCCACAGGACGTTATTTTTATCCTCGCAACACCATAGGACACAGTTGCGCTGTACTGGAGACGTCTCCAGGATGAAGAACCACTGCCTTTCCAAGATTGTGCTCTGTGGCGAACTGGTCGGGCTTCTGCAAAAGAAGAGCCCAAAGAGGAGACATAAGGACACCCTGAAACAATATTTTAGCCTTGGCCATATAGACTACCATGAGTCGGAAAGCGTAGAAAAATATCCATCACGCTACTGCTTTCTTAGAAAACATGCTCAGAACCAGCCTCGAGGACAAACGACAACGTCGGAAAAATTCGCCAAAGCAGACTTTCCACTATGCCTTTTGCACCCGAACTTGTATTGGCCTTTCTAGTCGTCAGTGAACCTGCAGCAAACGTGGGTATAGCACTTCACATATCTTTGTTCGCGAAGCTAGCCGGGACGATGACGATATATATACAGAAATGAACAGAATGAAGAAAAGAAGACAAGGAGGATGATGTCCAGGATGTACTATATATATACTCCTTGTCTTCTTTTCTTCATTCTGTTCTTGCTTATCCCCAGAAAATAAATATTGCCCGCTGTGGTCTTCATTCGTCCTACTTTTTAGTTGATTTCCCTAAATAAATCCATGAGCCCACTTGCGACAACTGTTTCTGAATGCAATTTCCATGTTTTTCCAAAGACAAGTTCAATAAGGTGTTGTTAGTATCACATCAAGGGGAAATTTCTAATAAAGTTAATGGTTGAATTTAGCTTTTGACACATAAAATCTCATTTTTCCATTAGATTTCGAAATTTGCTACGGATAGAGGTTTGTTTAGGGGAAATCAAAATTGACTGAAAGAAGTATTATGCGGAATTTCATGATGCACTATCAAGCAGCTGTGCCAGCAGAAAAATGGCATATAAAGATGTCTAGTTCGAAATGCATTTCAATACGTCTCCTAGCTTTTCATACAGCAACCTCTTTTCCATCATTTTGTCTATTAGTTGAGCAGTTTCGTGTTCTTTGATGTCCTAGTTTGTACAGTCAACTTTTGCATCTAATTATGGAATTTCATCATTTTATCGTATCAACGATAAATCAACAATATCAACGAAGTTATCAGTGATGTTTGGTAAATACAATGCCTTAATTCCAAAATTTTTAAACTTCAGATTTTCTTACTCCAAGTAACCTGAAGTTCTTTCACTTGCTGTTCACGTAGAAAATTAACGAAATCTATCCTAAAAAACTTTTCTTCGAGATTCCTCACAGCCTTAGAACAAATGTATTACCTCAGAACAAATGTATTATAAGGTATTAGTTTTTAAAGAAAATGATTTTCGAGAAACGAAGATGAATGAAAAAGTGAAGCTTCTCGTAAACGTGACAAAAAGCCTGCTCTTTATAAGACCAATAATACATTTGTTGGAAGTTACATGTAAATTAAAGGTTTAAGAGGAGAATCAGAGTGCAAAAAGAATAATGGTTGCGCCATTATCAAAGCAGAATGAGGCAATTGAATTTACAACAACATCAGCGGATTCAGTTAAAAATCTCAAAGTTGGTATTTCCCTCAATCTTGAATTTAATTAATCAAAGAGGAGAAAAAATTAATCTTGAACACAGTCAAAAAGAAAAAATTTATGCAAAAACAAGAAAGGAACGTTAGATAAGGAGAAGACAACGAGCTATTCGGAATGATTCAGGACATTGATAATCCCAATTGATAATGCATGTAAACATCATATTGATGGTAACATGGAATCATGCTGATCCCTGGTAAATAGTGTTAGTCCTATCTGATCAACCAATTTCACAAGATTCGCTTGCAGTTAGTTGGGTGGTCGCTGGTGATCGGTAGCCTAGTTATGTTGCTGGTGCTTCTCATCCTGGAATCACGATTCGTTGATGCAGCAGTGAAGTATTCCTTCGTTACTTTTATGTATATCACATCACTTATCTGTGCCATATTTGCGCTCAAAGACAACAGTAATATTATGTTGTATCCGATTCTCGTCACCACGGTTCGTCTCATTTGATAGTTTCTATTAGGTGACATAATTGAACGACAAGATAGAAACAATTAAATGTACTAATAAAATTCTTATATCCATTTTCTGTTGAGAGTCTGAAGAGGTCATTTTTGCTATTGTCTCAAACGTCTATTTTGAAGTTTCTAGAAGGAATAGTTCAGAAGTTTGTGTTTTTAAACAGAACAGCAATACAGTGATTAGCTGGCTGAAAAAGAACTTTTTGTGAATTTGCAGTCAATACTAAAGCTATCGAATAGGCTCATCTGCCCTTTTCTAAAACCTTAAAGATTAAATTTTTCCCCTTTCTAAGAGATCATTTATGTGTAGGTAGCAATCATTTACTCTTTAAAAGAAAGTGTGATATTTTTGGGATTTTGTGGCATTTTTAGGTGACATTTGCTATAATTTCACTATCAGCGTGGATTTTCGTACTATTCAGTAAATTCTTCTGTTCTCATTTCACTAATTT